CATTTCATTACACCAAATACACAAAATAATGTTCTTTTTAGCAACATCATATGACCCCTTTAACTAGTATTATTTTGGAAAAGGAAAACATCTCCAGGCCAAAATGACCGTAACATAACATGAGCGTTAATTAATTATTATTTTTTTATATATTAATATTAAATACATTAATATATTAAAGTTATAATGCATTATGCTTCATTTCCTCTTTTACATATAGACATATAACCATTTATAATTAATTTACTTAATACATATAATATTTTAACGGATATAATGGATGGTTTATGTAGGCCATGTATAGTGTTTTGAGATTCTTCAAATTTCTCCCACAGAATCTGAAAATCTTCAACAGGATGATTCCAGTTTCAAGGGTAAAAGACACATTTACTTGACGGATATGCCGTAGACTCCCACTGTTTTTATTTAAAGCTAATTATAATTTCTACAACCTAACTCAAACCATAAAATATTTTACATTTTTAGAATTAAATCAGGTTCATCTCTCTCTCTCTCTTTTTTTTTTTTTTTTTTTTAAATGGAGATACATATGAGGAGCATTCCTGATTCACTAAAACAATCATGTAAATCAAGTATAAAATTATTGCTGACCTCAATATGCATGGTGAAATATGCAAGTATCAGAAGTGTGACTATTTTAAATGGCTTCAAACTGATCAGCCTGATCTTCACTGCGTGTCGCTTAAAACCTTTTTTTCTATTTTCTTTCTGCTTATAGATGTTTGCCAGCTCAAACTCGATGCAGGAACTTGCTCAAACTTTTCAATGAAATGGTATTTCGAAGTCCGCAGTGGTGAATGTGTCCAGTTCTGGTACGGAGGCTGTGACGGGAACAGCAACAGGTTCAACACTCAGGAGGACTGTGAGATTCGCTGTCTCAGGGCCAAAAAATATCTCCAAACATCTAAACTGTGATCCAGTCATGGTGAGAATTGTTGGCACCCTTGGTAAATGTGAACAAAGAAACATGTGGGGGAAAAAATCGGCATTAATCCCTTTGATCTAAGGGAATTTAAAGAAGGGAATAAGAATTTAAAATGGAGGGAAAATCTCATTATGAAATAAATGTCTTGCTCTAATACACATTGACCACAATTAATCATACCCTTTTATCCAATACTTTTTGCGACCTCATTTTCCCAAGATAACAGCTCAGTTCACCCCACTCATTTTCTATAGGGTTCAGGTCAGGGAACTGGGTTGGCCAGGGCAGAACCTTCGTTTTGTGCTCAGTGACCCATTTTTTGTTTTGATTTTGATGTTTGTTTTTGGATCTTAGTCCTATTGGAAGATCTAACTATAGCCCATTAAAAGATTTCTAACAGAGGCAGTCAGGATTAGATTTTTTTATCTGTTGGTATATGATAGAATCCATGATATCATGAATCTGAACAAGATGTCCAGGAGCACCGGCAGAAAAATAGGCCCACAACAATAAAGATGCAGCAGTATATTTGTACAAATAGGGTACTTTTTCACCCCTGTGTGCACCAAACCCATCTTGAGTGTTTGCTGCTAAAATGCTCATTTTTTAATTTCATCTGACCATAGAACCCAGTCCCGTTTGAAGACACAGTAGTGTCTGGCAATTGAATATGCTGGAGTTTGTTCTCGGATGAGAGCATTTTCGTTTCCTTTTTTTTTTTTTTCTTGAAACCCTCCCAAACAACATGTGGGGCTATAGGTGCTGTTTGATACATTTTTAATGCTTTTTTCTGTAGCTATTTTCTGTAGCTCTCCAGCTGTGATCCTTGGCCACTCAAAATATCCTCCTCAGCTTGCATTAAGACAATCTAGACTCGTCCTCTTTCATAATTTTATATTTTTATATAACTTTAATGCTGTATCAGAGCGCTGCCTTTGTACTTTTGACTGAATTGTTTATCAACTTTTATGATGGCTGTTGTTTATTGATTATTATTCAATAAATAATGTTTTATTTACCATCTTGGAACGGTCTGTGTGTTGTCATTCATGGTCAAAAATCAACGAGTTTTCCAAGATGCCACAACATTGCACAGCATATGGTTGTAAAATTCGCCAACATTTAAATTCACAAAGAAATGGGATAATCTTTGACAGTTAAAAATGTGTTGGTTTGTGTGTTAATATGTATTAACTCGATATTACAGGTTTTATTAACTCTGGTAACTTTTTAATGTCGTGTTTGCTAATGGCTTCATCTTGTATTGTGTTAGTTCAGCAAAATCATCTGTTGAAGTTTATTGCAGATCTAGATATTCATGCATGCCTATAATTACAGTTGCATTGCAGATGCACAGTCAACTTGCTCTCCAGTGTTCACAGACCGGTGTTTTGAGTGTTCCAATATGGCAGATGGATTATGTATAGTGGCCCATAGAAAGAGCCTCTAAGTCATCTACATATACACATATATGATTTTTACTTTCAACAACACCTTGTATTGCATTGAAAATCCCTTAACAGTTGAAAGGATACTATGAAAAAGATTTGGCTTTCCTCAGTGGGCATTTAAACTAATGTTCTATTGTGAATATGAGACTGACCTGAAAAATGTATCTGATGCAGGTAATCGGGAAAAGACGTGAATGGTGCAATCTAATAATATAAAATATGGTCATACAATACAAATGCCAGCAATTCCACTTTGGAAGTTTGTAATGCCTATAGACCTTCATTTGATATAAGAAGATAAATATAAAAATAAGAATTAATCAATATATTGACCAGAAATGTTATGATATATGACACAAATATTTACAGATAGTTCAAAGGATCCAGGATCTAAGAAAACAGGAGTAGCAGCAGTTATACCACAACATGAAATAGTGATTAAAAAAAGACTCCCAGATTTTTTTATCTGTATTTACAGCAGAGTTTGTAGCTACACACTCTAAAACGCTCCACACAGTTCAGTTGGTGGCGGTAATGCACTAATAAGCTATTCTGCCAACAGCCAATAAACAATAAAAGAAGAAGATGATGCAGGTAATCACTGTCGCTCAGTCCATTTCTCTCGGGTAATATATGGTCTATTCATAATCATTTTTGTAATACCACGCAAGGTTAAATAAATTCATACTAAAATGCTTCACAAATTTTATCCTTGTAAGTTATTTGTATCCAAGTTTATGGGTATTCAACCAGAATGCTCTTTTTTTGGATCTGAAAATGAATCCGTGCTTCATCAGTTCTTTAGATGTCCCTTCACAGTATCATTTTGGACTGAGATTTAAAATTTAGATTTTTACATCCTTTAATAACCTCATTGATATTACAGAAGAAATGGTCCTGTTTCTGTTTTGTAACACTAGCTCTGCTCTTTTAAATAATACTGTAAAACTCTTGTGCTTGCTAGGAAAAGGTCATATTCACAAGTCTAAAGTTACAGCTTCTAAACCAGATTTTATTGTATTTTACTCTGAATTAAAAAGTGTATCTGATTCCCTGTGTAAATTAAAAAGAATAAAAAAAGCAGTTAAAACATATCAGATTTTAAATAAGATTGAGCCATTATAGAGGTTTAGATTATTTTTCCCCTGTCCCCCCACTTGAGTCAAAACGAAATGTAAAACACATTTTTTCCTTTATTTTTATTATTATTTTTTTAAATTTATTTAATTGTATTTTATTTATTTATTTTAATTGTGATGTCTTCTTTGTTTATACTTTAAATCCCTCGTTATATGTATATAGATTGTTCTTACTGTTAAATTCAATTGTTAATATACTTCAACAGTCTGTTTTACAATGTAAAATATTACTTGCAAAATGTTAATTAAAAAAAAGTAATATACTCTACATGCAAACAAGGTAGGCTATGAGAGGCCATGCTTAAGTCACAGCTGAGGGGCATAACCAATTTCTGTAATATGTACAGTAAGATACTGTAAAGCGTCTATATTACTATAAGCAGCAAAGGATTATGGGAAAATATATGGTCACTACTGTAAATTTTCTCTACTATAATTCAGTTTACAGTGAACTTTCCCGCAAAAAGCTGACCAATGGCAAGAGAGATTTCTTTTCAAGTTTTTTTAAACTCTGAGGTGGAAGTGGCGGTTAACGGACAAAAATAATGAATAATGTACCAGTAACTCACCAAAAAGGTTAGTATATATTTTTTTACCTTATGTAAAATAAACATATTTTTAAATTTTCACTTGTAATGTTAACAGCGAAATAATCGTGTCGTTTTTCACGTCGGAAGGGTTTTGGTGCCTTTGTTTCTGACGATTGGCTGGATCGCTGTCAAACATTAACCTCTATCAGCAGGTTCCCAAACGGGTGCAAAACATCTATATCTGTGTGCAAACACACACAGGCCCATCCAGCTCACTAAAAAACGATAGGAAGAAATATTTTTTTTTATTTATAACTGAAATCTTGATGTTTTCTAATATACAGTCAGGCCTTGAAATTAACACCCGCATTTGTGGTCTATTCTCCCGATTTAATTTACTATAGATCCTATTAATAATTCACTGGAATGCACGAAGAATCTCTCCTGTTTCTTCTCAAATCCTCATGTATCTTTCCAGGTTTGTTTGTTTTCTCAGGTAAATACAATTCATTAGGCTATCTGTCAAAATTACGGAAATCACTTTGAAATAGTATCATGCAATGCTAAAGATTATAAAAATTTTTGACCAGGGCAACGTATGTTACATAATACAGATATATGTAAGCATATATCTAAATATATTGTCGCGGGTGAATGAGAACACAGACTCGGTACTGATAGAAAGAGCCCCGGAGGATGATTTATTGCCCACACACTGATCACACATGCTCGGAGGAATGGTGCTCGGTGCCCGTCTCAACTCGGTGCTCGTGGGGTGAAGTGCCGTGGTGCAGATCCCTCTCCTGGGGTGCCATCAGAGTCTGTGGATAAGGAGAAACAAGCATTAATGTCGCCTGGAGCTCCGTTGCAACTCCCCGCTGGTGTCTCTTCTCCTGGCTTTTATGGCCAGCGGGAACAAACTCCAGGTGCGCCACTCATCACGCACAAGTGTTGTGCTTCTGTGATCAGTGTGGCAGCGGTGTTTCCTGGTCCTGTGGGGAAACACACAACTCGTTGTGGGGGTATTACGGGGGGGGGGATTTAATCTTACCTGCCAGACCTGTCCAACCGGACCAGCCCTGGGAGAGACCATTCGCATTCCCGTGGTCGGCCCCGGCCCGATGTTGAACCTGGAAGCAGAAGTCCTGGAGTGCGAGGAACCACCGTGTCACCCAGGCGTTCGTGTGCTTCGCCTTGGACATCCATTGTAGTGGCGCATGGTCTGCGATGAGGGTGAACCGGTGGCCCCAGAGGTAGTACTTCAAATCCAGGACTGCCCACTTTATGGCCAGGGCCTCTTTCTCCAGCATCGCGTACCTGGTTTCCGCGGGGGAGAGTTTCCGGCTGATATAGACCACGGGGTGTTCCTCTCCATCCCGGAGCTGGGAGAGGACTGCCCCTAAGCCGGTGCCGGAGGCGTCGGTATATAGGGTGAAGGGGCAGCCGAAGTCTGGGGCATGCAGGACCGGGCAGGACGTCAGAGCAGTCTTGAGGACCTGGAAGGCGGCTTCTGTCTCAGGAGTCCAGCCTATCCTCTCCGGCTGCCCTTTTCTGGTAAGGTCTGACAGGGAGCAGGCTATAGAGGAGAAGTTAGGAGTGAAACTTCGGTAGTAGCCCGCCAACCCCAAAAATGCCCGTACCTGCATCTTGTTGATGGGACGTGGGAACTTCTTTACCGCCTCGACCTTCTTTTCCTGGGGCATGATGAGCCCTCTTCCAATTTTGCACCCGAGGTACTTTGCTTCGGTGAGGCCGAGGTGGCACTTCTTGGGGTTGGCCGTCAGGCCAGCCCGCCGGAGCTCTGTCAACACCCTCCGTAGCCACTCCAGGTGAGTCTCCCAGCCCTCCGAGTGTATGACGACATCATCGAGGTAAGCCGTGGCGTAGGCTTGGTGGGGCCGGAGCAAGATGTCTATCAACCGCTGAAACGTGGCTGGTGCCCCGTGTAGGCCGAAGGGTAGCACCCGGTAATGGCAGTGGCCATCCGGTAGGGCCGCTGCCGGACTACGACTCCTGGTGGTGTGCGGACCTCGTGCTCGATGACCGTGGTTCTACCCGGGGTCTCACTGAACACATCCTTAAACTGACTGACCAGGGCCTCGAGTTCCATCTTCTGGGTCGCCGACAGCTGCGGATCTACGTCCACTACTGGAGGGACGGTGTGGGCCAGTGTGGCGAGTTGCTCGGGCCGGGGAACCCACTTCTTGAGCAAGTTAACGTGGTAGATTTGCTCCGTTCGTCGGCGGCCGGGTTGCCGCACACGGTACATCGGTCACCGGTCCCATTCGTTCCACTACTGTGTTGGGTCCCTGCCAGGTCGCTAGGAATTTACTCGCAGCTGTCGGGACCAGTACCACCACACGATCACCCGGCTGGAACTCCCGGGCCTGGGCGGGCCGATCGTACAGGCGTTGCTGGGCGCGCTGGGCTGTCACGAGGTGTTCTTTAACCAAGGGCATTACTCAGTCAATCCTTTCTCTCATTTCCCGTACGTGCTTGACGAGGCTACGCAGGGGGGCGGGTTGGTTCTCCCACGCTTCCCTAGCGATGTCTAGAAGGCCCCTGGGCTGTCTCCCAAACAACAGTTCAAAGGGGGTGAAGCCTGTGGAGGCCTGTGGTACTTCCCAGACTCCAAAGAGCATGTACGGGATCGTGAGGTCCCAGTCACACCCATCTTCGGCCACCACTCGCTTCAGCATCCGTTTGAGCATCTGGTTAAACCTCTCCACCAAGCCATCCGTCTGCGGGTGGTAGACCGATGTCCTCAGATGTTGAACCTGGAGGAGGCGACAGAGGTCCACCATGACCCGGGACATGAAGGGGATACCCTGGTCAGTCAGGATTTCCTTTGGGATCCCGACTCGGCTGGCCAGCAGGAATAGTTCTCGGGCAATGTTCTTGGCATTTGCCGCACAAAGAGGGATGGCTTCTGGGTATCGGGTGGCATAGTCCAGGATGACTAGAATGTGCTCATGTCCACGGGCAGACTTCGGCAGCGGTCCCACCAGATCCATCCCAATCCGCTCGAAGGGCACATCGATGACGGGTAGTGGAATGAGCGGGCTGGGGGGAGGATGACAAGGAGACGTCTGCTGGCAGGTGGGACAGCTACGGCAGAAACGTTTCACTTCCGCCTCTAGTCCGGGCAGGGGAAACGGTCCCTGATGCGTTGGACGGTATTTTCGGCCCCGAGGTGCCCCACCATTGGGTGGCCATGTGCCAGCTCCATGACTGTCTCTGTTTTCGTTTTAGGCACGACCAAGAGGAATTTTTCCACCCCCCGCCTGTGGGCGACACAGTACAGCAGACCATTTCTTATTTCAAAATGAGGGAGGGGGTGTGGGCCCGGAAGCCTGTCTACCTCATCAACTCGGCGCACTTGATCCCAACAGTTTCGCAGGCAGTCATCCTCTCGTTGTTCCCTGCCGAACGAGCCCCCGGTCGTGACTTGTGAAAACACATCGAGGTAGACAGACGGAAGATTAGCTGGCTGACACTCACCCTCCCTCTCGCTGTCCGTCGCTAGGTAGGCTGGTCTCGGGCTGGGCGGTCCCCGACGGGTTTGCCGTGGCCTGTTTCGGGCGGTACGGCCTGGTGTCTTGGGGCAGAGGAAGAGCTTCTGGAACCCCGGCCAGTCCCGTCGCAGGAGCAGAGGTACGGGGAGGTCTCGCACAATGCCCACCTCGATGGCACAGGTCCCGGGCTCCGCTGAAATCCGAAACGTGCGGGCCGGCACATAGCGGGTGTCTCCGTGCACACACGTCAGTGGCAACTTTGACTTCTGTTTGGGCCTTGGTTGTACCAGGGTAGGTTGCACTAGGGTGACTGAACTGCCGGAATCCAACAAGGCCTGTACTGGTTTCCCCTCTAGCTTTACCATCCGGCTGGGGCCAGGGGAAAGTCCGTCCTGATGCAGGAAACACCCGGCCATCCAGGCTCGGGCCATCGGTGCTGGGGGTTCAGTGTGCATCGGCTCATCCACAAAGTCAGGGAACGCCGGTCTGCTGCCTGGTCGCGGTGCACCTTCGAGCAGATGCCGCTCCACCACCCTGCGGGGCGCCAGGCCTGCTCTCTCCCCTGCCTCGTGGGCGTTCGTCATCACCGCCAGCTCGACCGCTTCCACCAGACTGTGGATGTCCTGGGGATTTCGCATACTGACCGGGCACCTCAGCAGGCGGGGCAGCGCCTGTAGCAGCCGATCGATGAGGACTTTCTCCGCGACCTGGTCAGCGGTAGGGGACCCGGCGAGAAGCCACAGGTGAGCCAATCGGGCCAGTTGCGCAACTTGCGCTCTCACTGTCTGCCGTTCATCATAGGTCCATTGGTAGAATTGTTGCGCAGCCCCCATGGGAGACAGGCCCACCCTGACTAGAATTTGGACTTTTAGCTCGTCATATTTTTCATTCCGGGGTGCCCGCAGGGCATAATAGGCCCGCTGCGCTTCTCCAGTGAGGAAGGGGGCGATGATGCGAGCCCACTCTTCCGGGACCCACCCCTCCCTGGCCGCGATAACCTCAAACGTATGGAGGTAAGCCTCGATGCCGTTGTTCTCGGTCAACCGTATGAGGTATTGGTGAGCCTTGACGGGGGCGCTTCCGGGAGGGGGATGCGCCCCGCCATGCTGGCCTGCAGTTATTCCACGACCCAGACAGTATACTCCTGTCGGGTGGCCAGTCGTTCGGTAAACTGCTGCTGGCGGGCCGAGAGCTCAGTCAGGCGGCGGATGACCTCTTCCATTTGTCCTGGGGAAGAGAGCGGTTCTCCTAGAAGAAGCACAGAGATCGTTACTGCAACCTGGCGTTACAAGTCTGTGTCTCAATTCACCTGTAACGCCTGCATTCTCCACCATATATCGCGGGGTGAATGAGAACACAGACTCGGTACTGATAGAAAGAGCCCCGGAGGGTGATTTATTGCCCATACACTGATCACACGTGCTCGGAGGAATGGTGCTCAGTGCCCGTATCAACTCGGTGCTCGTGGGGTGAAGTGCCGTGGTGCACATCCCTCTCCCGGGGTGCCGTCGGAGTCTGTGGATAAGGAGAAACAAGCATTAATGTCGCCTGGAGCTCCGTTGCAACTCCCCGCTGTTCTCCTGGCTTTTATGGGCAGCGCGAACGAGCTCCAGGTGCGCCACTCATCACGCACAGGTGTTGTGCTTCTGTGATCAGTGTGGCAGCGGCGTTTCCAGGGCGACGCTGATCTGAAACCGGGATACTCGCTACATTATATATATATATATATATATATATAAATTCCTTCGTTTGTGCATTTTGAACACAATATTATTTATATCGTTAGTTCTCAAGAGGTGGGTCACTCACCAATGACTGAGAAAAACTGAGCTCACTTTTCCCGAAGGAGGGGAGAGGGCAGGACTCTGCTTTTGACTGGTAAGCTCATATATTACTGTATTTACAATGATAATACGCATTTATTTGATAGAATTATAATTTTGAAATGTAAAAGCACAGCAACTAAGCCAATAACCTGTTATTTGACAAAATATGTCAAAACTGCGTTTAGTATATGCTATGTTGCTTGACAAACAGTCTGCATGCATGCAGATTTGAATAAAAGTGTCATTTGAGTAAATTTATGTTTTGATATTGTGAAATAGATATTATTGCAGTGCAAACAACTGTGAGCATAATAACGTATGTCTTTGTTTCAGTTTCTGATGAAGATTATGGACCACTAGTGCTTGGCACAGAGGGGCCTCACGTCTCCAGGAGGCAGGCCAGAGGAAGGTGATGCTTAACATAGGGGACAAAATCCTAATGTTTTGCACAGAAGTGAAATGACACAAATTTGGAGGATGTGGAACATGTTCTATACTGTAATCACAAAAATGATATTTGGTCTCATTCGTTTATACCATTTTGCATATTACTAGTTGTGCATCTCAGAGACAAAAATAACAAATGAAGAAAATCAAGCAATGATCAAGAAAACTGCTATAGCATATAGAAAATTTGAATATTTTGGGTAATGTAGTTTATAAAACCTGTTATTGCAAAGGACACTTGTAGACGCTAAATAGGACAAGTCGCCTTCCTTCAGTTATATTTCAATAACTCTTGTATAGAAAATGTAATAGAGGAATTATTTTTTCTACTGTAGTATATTCTGCCACCTAGGGGAATCAAACAAAATAATCAGCAGGTCCCTAGAGCACAACCTGAATAACAGACTTTCAAATACAGGACTTTGGAAAAAAATTATATCAAAAAGTACCTTTTTTATGTTTATTAGAATATTTTAAATACATATAATGTTATTTATGATTTTGTTAGTTTGAGGGGTTTTTCTGTACATTGACACCAACATTTTACATTTCTTCCACTGTATGTATGTAGGGTGAACATTTAAATTGGGGTATGGCAAATTTCAATCAAATTTCATGGCGGAATTTCAAAATATGCCCCAGAGTGGAAGGGGTAAAATGGGGTTCAACTGGGTACAATGAGATGACATTATTCTACTCACCCTTCAACCATCGAACATTAAAATTACATTTAAAAGTGTAAAAGCATAGGTACCTTTAATAGACCATGAATAACCCCAAAAACGCGATTCTTTCCACAGCAATAACGGACGGGTGAAATATCACTTTAGTAGCCTAATAGTATATATATATATTTTCACATTTTCACACCACTGTATATATATATATATATATATATATATATATATATATATATATATATATATATATATATATATATACAGTGGTGTGAAAAGGTTTTTGTATATATATATACTATTAGGCTACTAAAGTGATATTTCACCCGTCCGTTATTGCTGTGGAAAGAATCGCGTTTTTGGGGTTATTCATGGTCTATTAAAGGTACCTATGCTTTTACACTTTTAAATGTAATTTTAATGTTCGATGGTTGAAGGGTGAGTAGAATAATGTCATCTCATTGTACCCAGTTGAACCCCATTTTACCCCTTCCACTCTGGGGCATATTTTGAAATTCCGCCATGAAATTTGATTGAAATTTGCCATACCCCAATTTAAATGTTCACCCTACATACATACAGTGGAAGAAATGTAAAATGTTGGTGTCAATGTACAGAAAAACCCCTCAAACTAACAAAATCATAAATAACATTATATGTATTTAAAATATTCTAATAAACATAAAAAAGGTACTTTTTGATATAATTTTTTTCCAAAGTCCTGTATTTGAAAGTCTGTTATTCAGGTTGTGCTCTAGGGACCTGCTGATTATTTTGTTTGATTCCCCTAGGTGGCAGAATATACTACAGTAGAAAAAATAATTCCTCTATTACATTTTCTATACAAGAGTTATTGAAATATAACTGAAGGAAGGCGACTTGTCCTATTTAGCGTCTACAAGTGTCCTTTGCAATAACAGGTTTTATAAACTACATTACCCAAAATATTCAAATTTTCTATATGCTATAGCAGTTTTCTTGATCATTGCTTGATTTTCTTCATTTGTTATTTTTGTCTCTGAGATGCACAACTAGTAATATGCAAAATGGTATAAACGAATGAGACCAAATATCATTTTTGTGATTACAGTATAGAACATGTTCCACATCCTCCAAATTTGTGTCATTTCACTTCTGTGCAAAACATTAGGATTTTGTCCCCTATGTTAAGCATCACCTTCCTCTGGCCTGCCTCCTGGAGACGTGAGGCCCCTCTGTGCCAAGCACTAGTGGTCCATAATCTTCATCAGAAACTGAAACAAAGACATACGTTATTATGCTCACAGTTGTTTGCACTGCAATAATATCTATTTCACAATATCAAAACATAAATTTACTCAAATGACACTTTTATTCAAATCTGCATGCATGCAGACTGTTTGTCAAGCAACATAGCATATACTAAACGCAGTTTTGACATATTTTGTCAAATAACAGGTTATTGGCTTAGTTGCTGTGCTTTTACATTTCAAAATTATAATTCTATCAAATAAATGCGTATTATCATTGTAAATACAGTAATATATGAGCTTACCAGTCAAAAGCAGAGTCCTGCCCTCTCCCCTCCTTCGGGAAAAGTGAGCTCAGTTTTTCTCAGTCATTGGTGAGTGACCCACCTCTTGAGAACTAACGATATAAATAATATTGTGTTCAAAATGCACAAACGAAGGAATTAGCCAAGTGACTTTAGCTTTAATGAGGATCTGAGTTATTTTTGATAACTGATATATAACCAACCCAACACTGTACCCATCCAAGCACATCTGAACCTGAGCTATGTGAATCAAGTAATAAATGATACGTTTAATGTAAATGACCATTTTTGGGTTCTAACACCTTTTAAAATGCTTTTCTTGCCTGACATAAACAATGCTAAAATGCTAGTTTTGTTTATCCATGTTTACAGCATGTCATGCCTTATATGTGGTGTAGGAATGTGTCTATGTTGTGTTTTTCTGTATACAGACTGCATTAGACAAGACACATGTTGTTTGGAAGAGCAGTTGGGATCTGAAGCCAGAATGCTTTCTTGTGGTCTTCCATGAAGGGAAGTGGCTGATAACAGACTGGTTATGGGGAGTAGGATTCAACTGGTCATGTGATCTCATGAGAAAATAATTAATTTTTTGAAATAATTAATTATTATTATTATTATTATTTTTTTTTTTTAAAGAAGTCTCTTATGCTCACTGAGACTGCAGTTATTTGATAACAAATACAGTAATAACAGGAATATTGTGAAATATTATTGCAATTTAAAATAACTGTTTTCTATTTGATATATTTAAAAATGTAATTTATTTTTGTGATGCAAAAGCTGAATTTTTGTGTCAGGAATCATTCTAATCTACTGATTTGCTGCTCAATTGTTGTTGGTGCTCAATTATTAATAATGTTTTTTTATGATTATAAACACCAGATTTCATGTCTTTGACACCAAATGCCATTGGTTCTCACAAATGCCTTTATCCATTACAGAGTACCAACTTGAATGTGAATGATATTAAAGCTATAAAATAAGTTGAGAACATTTAGCACATAATCATTATAATGCTTTTTTTGCACATTTTAGAATTTATTCAATAGAGAAAACAACCACTTAAAGGTGTGGGATGACATGAGGGTGAGAAATTGTGACATGATTTTCCTTTTTTGGTGAACTAAATTAGATTAAACTAAGAATTTAAGGAAGCAACAAACACAAAGCTGTAAACATCTGCAATAATCCAAAAGGGGAATGTGAACACACTGCGTTCAAGCTATTCAATGGTTAGGATAAACAAATGATAAATCTATCATGCACTTGTGGGTCTGTATATACAGGTTTTTGAAGTCATCTTCTCCTAAAATGGAAATTGTGGTGTTGAGGAGTGGTTTGATAAGTTTGTATGAACAGTTTCTGATTTTTAGTTTCTCATTCAGAGTCTTCGGGTTGGACTCGTCCCATCCATGCCTGGGCTCTGTGTAAGTTCACTTCTTTACTCTCTTCCTTTATTATATTTAGATTATATTCAGAGCTGTTTGTACCGAGGTAATCATATGATTTATAGTATTTTTTAAAATCATTAGTTTGTGAGAATGCCTATGTTTATAAGAAGTACTTCACAGAAAAGATGACTGAGTTTTTCAGGTTTGTTTAAAAAACTATTAAAGCAATCTTAAGCATAGATTTTATTTATGTGTTTAATTCAAGTCTCTTTTTCTGGATTCAGATCTATCATGAGTGTCATGTTCACTAGCCAGTATTTTCATAGACTCAGGCCTGATTTTAAACACATTAGGAAAGAAGCACAGAGCTGGCTGACAATCCTTTGCTAAATCTGGGGACACATTTGAAGCTGCATTTCAGATCTCTAGGAGCTCTGCTTCCGTTATTGTTACTGGCTTGGGATGAATGTGAATTAGAAATATTAGAAAAGTTTTAGTGTGAAACTTGCCTGTTGAATAGCATTTGAAAATATGAGCGTTTTGGTTACATTTCAAGACAAAATGATACCAAGACAAGGTTTATGTTGACTAAATGCTAAGTCTTCACTTATAAAATGTAACATTGAATTAAATAATTCCTATAATTGATTTTTAATTTGAATTTAAGTATGATTTAATTTAAATTTAGTTGTAATTCTATAAAAATGCTAATTTTAGAAGAAAATTTCAGATGGAATTTAGAGGCTTTTGCATCTGAACTATATATATACGTGTGTGTGTGTGTGTGTGTGTGTGTATAGGCTATATACGATATA